AAAATTATACCCCTGTTTGGTAGCATGTAAAGCTGGTAAAGAAACTATCAGCTTTGAATTCCGTGATTTTCCCCTTATAGGCTTGTGAAAGTATTGATTACAGCTGCAACATCAGTGCTCTTTGATTCTCTTTTCCAGGTATTTTTTGGCCCTTTCTTTGATGGTAATGCTGTAGTCACCACGAAATTCATCCTTCCTGTACAGGCTAGATATGTGTTGTTCAATCCACGAGAACCGTTGACTGTGTCCTCTAATCATCTATGTCTGCGAGTGGACATAGCAAGTTGTCAAAATGGTAAATGTTCACATTTAAACTTAATACAAAGAAAGAAATATAAAAGTGAGGAAGATCTAGAAAGCCTAAGTACAAAATGAAAGAAAAGAAACTTTACATTCAAATTTGTAAAATAATGAAAAGCAAACACCACTGCATAAAAGTACCAATTATCGTTCCCATTTCAGTTCTCGGATACTAGAGTTAAACCCACTAGAAATTAGAACTGTGAGATTGGCATAATATGGTACCAGAGAGAGAGTCGAAGCTTTTTTAAGGGCCAGGCGTTACGACAAAGTTTTGATTTAAATCTCTTTCAATTTGAAATAACAACTATTTCTTCCGAGTTTTCAACGTTGGCTTGAAGGAGTCCATAAAATGTCTCTGTCTCGGTCGTTCCGTTTCATTACTCGTTATATTGCATCATGGGACAAGATATCCAGGAAGCCGTATCACGCATAGTTGCTTATTTTACTTTACAGCACGCAGTAAACACCGCAACCTCCATCAGGAGACATCAAGCATAACAAATATTGCGCGACCGTTAAATCATAGCTTAGCATTCCCAATTCGATATTTTTACAACCTTCAGCTGCCCATTTCGACATTGTATTCATATGATCTTGTATGGAGAAACAAGCTGTCGATCGATTTATCTTTCAGTATCACGACCCACATCGAGTCCAACGCCAAGTCTTGTTCCGCCCTTCAATACAACGAAATCCACGGCACTGCCATCATTTACAGTGAAACCAACTTCTTCAGGTTTTACACCAGTAATGTCATCTTCAGTCGTGTCAACAGTGACTATTCCTCCTCATGTACAAAGGTAAGCGGAAATAAGTTGAACTCTTCGTGATTGTAATCTTTTGTACAAAAATAAGTTTGACCTTTGAAATGATTACTTGGTAGGTTTTACTGACCAATAGAGAGACAGACCGATTGCCTTATTTTTAACTAATCAAGGAGTACTGAGACGACTGATCGTCAATCAATCTCTTGATTAACTGATCAGTTGATCAGTATAGTCCATAGCTATTTGTTTACTTGTGCTATACATGGTAAACGGTGCGATAACTGAATTATCTACCTTTGCAGGATACTTGTTAGTCTACTTGGATCTCTCACCCGAATCATACAGAGGGTAAATATTTCATTCCACATTTAATGACCTGTAATTATCATATATCACAGAAGATTGAAACGATTTGGTAGACAGTACTTATTACTGGTTGAAGTGGTGATTTGAAAGTCGAGCCGTCTGAGTATAGTAAAATGATTTCTGCCTTTGTTTTTTAGCTTCAAGCACTCCTCGGAGGGTCACTTTCTCCTGCAGATCTCGATAACTTTCAAAGTGAGTAAACACTTATTGCTCGAGTTATGCATCCCACTTTGAAAAAAAAAA